GCTTGAGAAAATGAATCTATTTTACCTGAGTGACGGGAAACCCCCAAGAACTAGTTTCTGCATCAGTCCAACTTGTGATACGTTCAGAAAACTCTGATTAGTGATTCTCTGGGGGTTGCATACCTACCTTACAGTTAGTATGACCATTAGATGGCAATCGAAATCAAGCAAGCTCTCTCGGAATGTGCTGACAAACAAAGCCCGTTCAAGTTTGCCTCACATACTATTTCATTTGCGTGTAAATCACAGGACTAGGAGGGATACTTGAGAAGTTAATGTCACCAAATTATGTCAGATTCAGGCGTTTTTTTCAAAATGGGAACACTTCAACATATAAAATGTGTCCCTTGTAGTTTGACGTCTTTAATTTCGTTGTATACAGCGAAAGTGGGTCTACTGTCCCCGATAGGCATTGCCAACATCGGCTACGTTCTAGCTTTTGAGTTGGCTAATCTATCTGCTGGGACCCAGCGCATTACACACACAGTGGATATACTTCAGAGAAGACATGTTGCGGTCAAACAGATCGGTCGGATGTGGATCAGTTTACTGAATTACTATTTTCAACCTCGAACGATACCCGTTAGAACATGTGCCGTGACTATGGTTCAACGGAGGCTGGCCTAGGTGATTGGGCCGCTTGTATATTCCAAGTACGCCTATTTTCTTTGCTGACACTGACTTGTGACGAGGCCTGTTGAAGCATGCAGCATGAATCTAGCAGTTGTGCACACGGGTGACGCAAACAAGACAGGTGCCATTTTGCTTTAGTAGTCTGACCACTGTAGAAGTTGCAATTTCATTGGGACTGATATCTCGGCCCTAATGGATGCTTGATGAGGACTCATCAGCTCAGTATGTCAGGCTTTCGAGCTAGCCAGTTATTCTCAACTTTGAAATTTCAGCATTGCTGTGGCAAAAGCGTAGTGTCCTTTCCGCCTCAGGTACTTGCGCAAAATCATTGCGATACTACTTAACTAGGATGTCTGCTCAAGCTCAGAGTAATCAAGATCGGACGTTGTTGTGGTGTAACGTACAGCCGCCGTGTGTTGCCATCGAAGATGAATACGAAAGGACTAATTGACAACAACTTCGGTTTTTGTTCGGTCGTAGGTACCATACAACTTCTCGCGAAATTCACATCAATGTGACTATCTTTTAAGTTAGGTGCAAAAGTACAATGCGGACTGTGAGTAGTGGCTGGGGAAGTCTCCCTCGGGCAGTCTGATTATCACTGACTGGGAAAATGGTCCGACAAACCAAAAGAGTGTATTTCTCGAAAGCAGTCCAATTTGGGTTCAAGTAGAACATAAAATTGACGGAAACTCGGGGACTGCGCCTAACTGATGAGCCCCAAGAAGAGCGAAACCGGTCGTCGGCTGTCGAAGCATTTTCATCACTTGTAAGTAGTTTCCTTTATGAAAGAAGTAGTGTATGTTGCGATATTGACCGCTAAAATGTAGCAAATACTATAGAACCAACAAACTGTCACGAGCCAACTTTAAAAAGTTACATTATATGAATGGACCCCTGTTTATTTACCGGAAGGGTTTAATTTGTTGAAGCCACCTATAGACAACCGAATTTCCCCTAAAAGATTGTAAGCCGTAAGTACAACCTTCCATTTGTTAATTCCCTTTGAGGATGAAACTTCTCGGCAACCCCCGATGTACTTTCCCCGAGAACTACGCCGGTGTGAACACATAAAGCACCCATAGATAACCCTAAACCTTGTACCTTCATTCGCGCTGGTCAGCGTGAATAGAGTTTCATGAAGAGATTACGTACAAAGAAGCGAATTTTTGATAGATGTACAATCTCGGAATAAATGCGGCCACCATACCCGTTGATCATCTGAAATGGCTGGAAGCATCATCTGCCAAAATTGCACCAGAGCTTCCTGATATTCTTTCACAAATTGTCAGAGGAAGACGTGTCATAATAACCTTAGGTTTTCGAAGTGACAGACACTACACATTATTGAACATTTTGTCATCATATTAGAATACGCCTGCACCATATAGTTAATTAGGCCTAGTTAGCCAGTAAATAACTGCTATTTTTGTCTAGAGGACATGCCCCAAAGCCAAACTGGCAGAATCATCCTGCGGATATACCGCAGTTACATCCAATCGAGGTTATTGACTATTCGCCTGCATGCTGTGATCAAACTCTACTCTACGTCAAACTCTACAGTCAGTCGGTGAAAACAATAAGAAAAACGCACAATCAGGTACGAAAGAGAAGCTCTTTGTGGAGAAGATAAATATGAATCCGCTGCAGAATCCGCTGTAAAGGGAATCTGTTGACTTAGGACTACATTATTAGGTAATGCAGAGTTCGGAACCATAAATAAGTATCTGATGGAGTCGGCATTTCCACGTTACTTTCTCATTAAATTCGCACCAATCACATGTCAAAATTGAGATGGTAAGTGTTCTGTCATAAACCTACAAGAGTGGGGCTTGAGTTCACAGGGAGTTCAACATAAAGTAGCAAACCACAAGGTTACAGCAGAATATGTTATGGGCAGATAAAACAGAAGTTATCTTTTGAGGCGCAAAAAAGGGAGCCACTTGCCGCGGAATTTAAAAAAAATGTGGCACCATGAACACATTTTCCTCATGATACATGCAGCGCTTTTTTTGTTAATCTACAAATCCATCTAGTTAGCTTGCAGATGACCGTTATTAGTCGAAAACATCATCACAAGCGATGTAATGAATAAGAATTCAAACAGACTAGGATCTTATCATTGCGATAACATAAGCGTTATTCCACATGCGCATTCTATTTGTTCGGACAAGCCTGAGAATACCACTGAGTGCAGGTCACTGATACACTCTCAGGAAGACCAGTTAAAGTCCGAGATGACGGTGGTCAAGACTGACTGACTAGACAAAGCCGAATCGTAGTTATCGAAAACTTTCCTCACACGATTTGCCCTGACCCATAAACAATATTTCCGACAGAGTATCACCTCTGCTGTTGCTTGTGGGAACGGGTGCTGAACAAAAACGTTTACGGTAAGCAACACTGTACTCGAAAAACAGGAATCCATCTGCATGGGGTTGTAATGTGTTTAAAATCAAGATCATCACATTGTGACCACGGGCTCGTCCGAAGTAAGTAATCTGACCAATCCATCCCCCATGCCCGCATAGAACTTCGCATTCCTGTTAAGAATCAGTCAAGAATCAGTCAGTTTGTATCTCAGTCGACCACATGCGCAAGGCTTTCGTGGTCGAAAACGAAAGGAGTAAGCAAGTTCTTACTTACCACTTTTAAGCATTATCTTAGTTTTCTTCTGACTTATGAATGTGGGGCGAGTAGCAAAACATGAGCTGAAATTACTTCAAAGGAGACGGTGAAAATGCACCCAGGAGCAACACTTCACGTCACTTGTTGATGCGAATTGTTTTACAGAGGGAGATTGAGGGCCATTTTCCAAGCACTTTTGTGGAATGAACAAAGACCAAATCATTCAAAAGCGGTTTTACGATGTTGCTTCTAAAAGAAACTTGGTAAAGTGTCCTCCAAGAACCAAGCCCTTCATAATCTAATTCCGCGCTCACGTTCACATCAGACCTACACAAGAGAAAGAGAGCACTAAGCGAAATACACTCATTTGCATACCACTTTGGTTTTGACAAAAGGCGCACCTAGAACTGAGCTGAATCTGTCGTTTAGAATGTTCTTAAGGAACTGAAATTGCTACGCCAGACCGCCTCATGTTTGTCTTGGTACGTTATTGCGACACATGTATAAACGTAGTACACTACTCATAAGGTTGCTGAAAATTATTTGGCAGTCCACGACCGTGTTCGCCCTTCTTGAAGCTCATAAGGTAGGTGCATTCCCCTATTTTTGTCAACCTTGTGTTATATTTGAACCCTAATTGCACGAAATTAGCTAAATGCATTTTAATGCGGTTTTGACGAGAAACTCACTTGGAACTCAGCTAAATCTCAAGTTCTGGTTCAAGTAGAACAAAAGGTTGACGGAAACTGGAGGATTGCGCCTACCTGAGGAGACACAGGAAAGGCAAAACCGACCTTGGGTTGTCAGACAGTTTTCAACGACCTTACGAGTAGTGTGTTATGTCTGTGCATTTGGAAGGACCACTATTTCAAACGCGCAATCAGAGTCAACATCGTCACCATCCACAGTATGACATCGGTGTCGAACACTGATATGAAGCTGTCCATATGCTCTCACACATCCGGAAGTCTGAGTATAAAATGTGCGGCTTACATTCACAACCTTTTGGGGTGTTTCTTCACAGGCGAGTGTATGAAGGATCGGTCCACGAATCCTATACGCTTTGGACGTCTAAGGCTACTGACATTGCTGGTCGTTTGTACGGCGGCGTTAGTGGCGTTTTTATAGCATCTGACGGAGTGTGAAGTATCAAATGTCGCAAGTAATGTTTGACAATCTTTCATTCGATGTAATTCTATTTAACCAAACAGATATAACACTGACGAACAAGTGAATAAAATGAGATGAATGAAGACTAAAAAATGAAGACAATCAAATCACTGAGCGACCATCATCACAGTCAAATATAACCTCGTGCGAATGTTTAGGGTTTCATAAAGATCAGTTAGATCTCCCAATTGCCAATTATCTAAAGGCGCCCGAAACCGTTCAAGAGCCTTTTTGACATAGTCACCCACATCTCTCACCAATATATATCTGCCAGGGTAAAATTGTGAAGCGCCACTGCTATTAAAAATGGCCGATGAGGTTACTGCCAAAAATCAGCACCCTTAACGAAGGCTCCTTCGACTCGAAGGGAAAACGGCATAGTCTTAACAACCAGTCAAGCTTCAGGCCTTCAATCAATCATCACCTGACTGTGCTCCAGTCCACACATTGGACAGCTCAGCACACAAAAGCTGATTGGTCATTTGCACGCCTCCAGATGGAGCACATTCTGAGTGCCAAAATAAATTGGTGGCATACATGATAAAATTCGTTCGATGTTTAGATGAGTGTAGACCTCCTGTCTGACTCCGTCACCACCTGAAGTCACTGATATGTTTTCTGAAGGAAACTCATGGATGCTCTATGATTTACTCAATGCACTGAGATTCGATGACGTTGAAAAATTGGCTGCGAGTCTGGAAGCTGGTTCGTCACAAACGTTGGATACCTACGATTTTTTGAATGATAATGTAAGTCAATTTATCTATTTGGTTCGTTTAATTCAGCTAAGTGGTGAAGAATTGCCATCAAACATCCAGTTACCCAAGTTCATTTAAATTCCCACTAGACGTCATTTGAGAGTAAACTGACCGTTCTAGTTGTACCGCTGAGTTGTGCAGATGAGAATGGATTAAATGCGCGACCTTTCTGCGTCGTTTCTTCTTTCATCGCCTTCAGGTCCTATCCTTTTCCACCGAAATACCCAACAGTTTCAACTCAGTAATAGCTAAAAAAAACGGTGGCATCCCAACATTCATGTGGAAATTGAAGTCAATCGATAAACAGGGTTGCTAAGATTGGTATTCAAAATGGGTTGGGTTGATTGTGTTCTGGTACCGTTCTCATTTTCTTGTTATAATTTCGGAAACATTAGATCGTGGCAGTTAGGCACAATTACGACTGGCCGAGAAATGGGGACATTCATGAGTAGGGCATGCGTACATCAAGTAGGCGGAAACTGGAAAACTTCAGGGGTACAGTAAACCAAGGTTGGACATGTGGTGGATGATGAATAGCAGAGAAGGAACAGAGTCGGGTTGTGATTGTGCTCGTAATTTAACTAGTTATAACGGAAGAGGCCAACCACAAAATTCTCCGTTGTGGAACTCAGTACTTCATCACTTATAATCCAAATGTTCTAGACCCGATTGTTAATAACAGACAACCTTTTGGACAATGCGAGTTTTGATATTAGCAGCTATACATTTTCGTGTCAGTAATTGGTGGTCTAATATGATCAAAAGGGTTGTCTTCATGGGTAGGACTAATTAACCCATTGGGACCACCTCATTAGAATGATCACATTATATTTTTCATGTCGCAAACCACTATTTTTCGGTAAACCTCTTGATTAAATATACGTAATACAGAAATACCAACATGGCGCTTCTGCAGTAGCGCTCACTCCAATTGCTCGAGCCTTACCTGGATTCTTAACATGCAAAGGCTTCACCAGTGACAGTTGAAAATGCATGTGAGACGTCAGGAGTGATTTCAGCCTCTAAGTCTAGCGGACCGACCTTGTCTACAAATATGGGACCGATGAGGTTGTAACCTGCAATGATTTGAACAACGGAGTTTTTAAGAGCCTACTATCACCTCATTAGTCCATCGCATACAAAGGCGAGCGTGGAAATCCTTGCTGGTCATCACTGCCTGTAGGGTGGTTTCTAGAGAGCTCCCCATCCACTTTCACACTCCAAGAATTACGAGGATACAATAATCGGATGATGTCCACAAACTTCCGAGGCATCTCCTGTTGAGCGGTGTTGGAGGTGCTGGTTGGTCTACAGAAACGAACGATTCGTTGAAATCAAGGATCATAAACGTTGTAGTTCTCTTGTAGCTCTACCGGCCGACGCAGCGTAAAAATGAGGTTGAAATCCTGTTCGATGTTCACAGGTCAAGGTTTCGCTTGCTGCCGCAATACAACGTGTGGTCAGTGACACGAGTACAAACTCAGTACAACGGGAGTTAGGCTGACATTGCTGTGTTTACCTCATTCACTGGGCTACCGATTTTGAAGAAGGGTGCTAATATCAACTCACGCCGTCTGGAATGATCTTTGCCAGGCGGCCGTAGTTAAGTCAGACAGCCACCAATGTCTTCGAACCTCACAGAGTAAAGGTCATCAAGAATAGGAGTTCGATAATGGCGATTTTGTATTAGCAGGGACATTGAGTATCGCAATCTATCCAAATGAAACGCAATAGTTTGCGAATTGTCAGTATCTAGTTTGACTTACAGAGTAACGGTCGAAAAATACATCAAGGTATACCGACGTAGATTCCTCATGGTGTCATGAGACCGGCCATCATTTTACTGAGCCAAGAAGACAACAACTGATCGAAATCAAACACCACTGTGATTTTTGCATGCTCTGTCGGAATCAGGTCTCGGGGGTGCAAATCGATGTTGGAACTTTTTCTGCGCTAAGGATCCACTACGCAGACGAATTCACAGTAACTCAAACATCTATTCGTTTGGTCACAGCAGGCCCATACATGCAAGGAGTACTGAATAATTCTTTATCGACTTGGAATGGCTGTAATACTTGTCATTCCGCTTGTTCGATCGTTTAACTACTCCATTTGATCGCCGGATATGGTCAGCACTGTAGCACGTCAGTGTTTGCTATTGTGTTTCTAAAATGATATCAATTGGTACTGGTTCGACGCCGTAGCAATGTCGAGGCAGCAGCGCAGTAGTTTATCACCAATATTCCCGCAGGAAATGAGACAGCATATGTCCTGACCGTGGTTTTGCAATGTACTTGTCTGTCGTGTGCGAAACGCACTCGTAACAGGCAAGTGATCGATTCAACTTGTTTGAGGTGAATGGTTTATCGTTCCTTGTTGACGCATATTTTTTCTCACAGTGACAGTGTGGTCTTCTGGATGTTCGCCTTCTTCCAGTTTCATTTGACACACTTTCTCAGGAGTTAAGTTGAGCAGTTTGCTTGGCCGAAAAAGTTGACGGAACTCTCGATTCACCTAAACAGTTTGTCAAAGGACAAAAAACTCAATAAAAATCCGTTTTAAGCTTCAGATACAACTGTGACTGTCGGCCACTCAAAATACGTTCACTGAGTTTAGAACGGAAAGAGATACCAGTCTACTGTTTGGTGAGGTAAACTCCCCGAAATGGCTAGCACGGTTTGTTAGAAAATATCCACTGTGGGCACAGCAGGAACTATTTTCTTTCTGAAGCTATTGCCCAAAAAAGACCACTCGAAAACCTGGCTCTACCAGAAATGCGTACATGGAATAGATGTTGAATGCAATCATGTATTTTCCTAGTTATCAAGTGACATGACAATCTGACCACGAAACGGAGAGCACCATAAATCAATATGTGCAAGGCTCGCCTCCATAATTTGAGTTTTTGTATGAACGTTGCACGCGCAAAAAATGAGTCTAATCGATGGGTGCTAGTGCATATTTGCCACCCCTTGATGGTGCTTGTTCATTTCGATACAAATTGAAGTTAATATATATTTGATAAATAAAAGGTTTGGAGCAGCGTCTATGTAAACATCCACGGTGTTCTTTCATTTATAAACAAAAGCAGGGCATGTGAAGGCCCATGTTGATGATTGATGGAACTGGTTTCCTGACTTATGCTCAATTTTGAGTGTGATGATACCTCAACAGTAAAGAGCCGTGCCAACGGACCGGACGACAGACATATGTATACTCGTATGCCATTGTCGTTTGACGTTTTAAGAAAATAAATGCAGGTTAGCAAACAACATGTTGTGGGTGTGAATTGAACCTCTGAGTAGTGTTTGTCCCACATTGCAGAATTTAGATAAATCCACAGTAACATGTGGAGAAATGAGCAAGCTTTCAGTCGAAAGATCACTAGACTGGGCAAACTATATCGTTCAGAGGGGGAAGTGAAACAGTTATCGAGAACTATCGTTTTGTTGTCGTTGATGTGGACCTGAACCTAAACATTTAAAATACATGAGGCACTTATTCGGAAACAGACTACTGATGAATAATTATCCGTCTGCTCCGTACAGTCAGTTCACCACGCAATTTCTCCGATGAATACCACCGATAGATTCGTTGGCCAAAACATTTTGTTTCTGGTGCATTCGTTCATTAAATTTGGTGCTTCTTCGTTGAGTCCACTTTATCTTTCCATCCTAGATGTGCCGATAATAATCAATTCCATAGTTTGGTGGATGAGATGCCAAAATCACTCAAACGCTTGTTACCCACCTTGGAAAGAGCAGTACGATTGGCTGTGCTTTGGGCATATTGACTGGGAGTGCGTACAAAATGCACCTGACGATTATGGTTCTTCCCAAACAATGTGTTGGGAGCTAACTGCTCCGTTGCTGCAAGATTTTGAGGTTCATTGGTCTCCTCTAGCTAATCGCAACCTCTGATTTGGTTTGCCTGTCAACATTCCGAACGCCGATAATAATATTTTTAAACGGGGCTGGCTCAATTAACTTGTACTGGGAGGGGTTCCTCCGAAGCTCAACTCACCTTGCCTGTGTGCACCTATATGAAAACCTACTTATTGCGGCACGGTAACTTGGTGATTACTTTACTAAGGCTTTTAAATTTCATACCTTTTGTCACTGACCTCATCTTCAAAGTTTGCATTCGCTCCACCCGTAAATCGCTGATTAGCGCCAGATTTATGGAAGCATGTTGAAACAGTTCTCAAAGTAACTGTATCCAATGTTGATTATCCACACAAACTTACCTGATGAAAAATAATTATCTAACCGACTTGCTAAGCTTATTGAGAACGTTTTTCCAAATCCGTTTCACAATATCGAATACCCCATGGTTTCAACTGCAGTGAGTAGTTTGGCGAAAGAAAAAGCAACGTGGTTCTGTTGAGATTCTCACCATTGTGTTTCCTAGGATTTTCCAAAGACAAACATTCAATCCATGTCTCTCGGAACTTGTTTTATTTGTCCAAACTCTCTTGTACGAAGCGGAACTGATGCTTAGTTAGCCATAGTTCATGTATTTAGGGCATCATAAATTCAATGTAATCATCTCGATTGACAGGCATTAAGAATTCTGGCTAATGACAATGTGTATCAGAGAATGGGTCATCTATTCTTTCATTTTCCACTACATACACCGCAGTCTGCGTCTAAAGTTTAAATCTGGGTACCTAAAAAATGAGATTGCAATGGAAAGATATCACATGAAGAAAGTCGGAGCTCTTCGAAAGTTCTCAGCAATTTCAAAGCTTTCTTCAGAGCCACCACCATTTATTGCATCTCAAAGTAGTGATTTAGTTAGCGAAATACACTCATTTGCAAACTAATTTGGTTTCTCGACAGACTCACCTGGAACCCAACTGAATCTTCCGTGTGTGATGTCTCCAGGCAACTGAATGTGCTGTACCGGGCCACCTCTGGAAACATCACAAACGGGACATTCAGCTGCGTTCCAGGTGAGTCTCCCGAAAAACCAAATTAGTTTCCAAATGA